TATAGAGGGGAAAAAATTTGGTATGAGTAGTTAGACATTGGGAAAGATAGAAGGTAGAGAGAGGGTAAATGGGAACCCAGACACATGTGTGTAGAAGAGCAAATTCTGGAACTATAAAGTGGAGGGACAACTGCAGTTCAAAGTAACCTGTTACTTATTTCATGGAGATCTTAATGCTTCAAGGCTCCAAACATTGAGAAACTGTAATGGAAGTTTTGGGTTCTTTGTATCTTACATAAATGTGCTTTTGGTTTAATTCCAAGTGTGGGATTTTAGTTGGGCTATAGTTTGTGCACACTTGTTAATTGTCTTCTATGGAGTGTGGCTTTTGCCAGCTGGTAACAGCCTTCCACGTGCAGCATGGAGAGGGGTGTGGTCTAGGACTCTGACAGTATAAATCTGAGAGCTGAGAAAAAGAAGGTGTGCTTTCGGTGTGCCATTTGGTATTGGTGTGTGGTGTGTAGCAGTTTGGTGAGAACAGAGACCAGAGCAGTGTGGCACTTTGGAGCAGAGAGATGGGCGTAGAGGCATGGAGGAGGCTGCTAGCTGTGTCTGCAATTGACGGAGATTGGTATAGAGACCTAAAAGAATCCCTTGACCCCAAATAGCTGGGAGAAGTAAAGGGGACTGGGTCCCCTCTCCCCATTAACCTTTTCTCTTTCCTACTTAAGGTTGGGAGTTTGTTGGAAGGGAGGAAGAGGCCTAAACACCCCAAATGAAGTAGAGTTTTTAAAAAGAATGCTGCAAGAAACATTAAGGATAGGGGATGCTAGTTATCTCATTTGACCAGTTCAGGAAGTAGCATGTGTTAAAACAACATACTGTCCCACTATATGTGTAAGGATTGCATAGCAACAAAAATCAAATTAAATAGAAATATGATTGGAAGGTAGTTCAGCTGGTCAAATGCTTGCACAGCATGCACAGCCCTGTGCTTGACCCTTAGCACCTATAAACCAGGGGTGGTGGCACACACCTGTCATCGCAGCACCTGAGAGGTGTAAGTTCAAGGCAATCCTCAGTTACTTCAGTGAGCTCTAGGATAGCTTGGGATACATGAGACTCCACCTCAAAAACCAGATCAATCCTGAACAAACATAAACAAAATGAAACAAAGATACCAAAACACCTTGCTTAGCCCCACAAAGAACTGTAATCCTGAGGATTTTTTACAAAGATTTTATTTTTACTTTTGTCTATATGTGTGTCTGGTTGTGTATTTGTGTCCCTGAGTACAATGCCTGAGGAGGCCAGAAGAGTGCATTAGATCCTCTAGTGTTAGAGTCACAGGTGGTTGTGAGGTGCCTCACTTGGGTGCTAGGAACTGAACCCCTGTCTTCTCCAAGAGTCTGAGCCATCTCTCTAGTCCAGCATGCTAAAAGGCCACATCCTACAACACTTGCCTACATATAGGAGACTGGACACAAAATGTGTTTATTCATATAGAAAGCTAGCAGTTCAGTAATTGCAAATAAACAGGAACAAGGGATATGGTTCCCTGGGAAAAATTACTAACCACACAACCACACGAGCCTGACACCACAAGTTCTGTCCTTGGAACCTCCGTAAAAAGCCAGATGGGATGGTATGAATCTAGAGTACTAACTCTAATTCACTGTGAGACAAGCCCCTTGAAGCTTGCCGGCCACTAGCCTGAAATACACAGAAGCAGACTACAAGAGAGACCCTGCCTCAGTAAGCTGGAGGGTTCAAATGACTTCTGAAAACTGCCCTCTGACCCCCTCATAAATAAATATTTAAAAAATACAACAAAAAGCCATCAACACATTCAGCAAAGTGGGTGAAACTTTGAGTCATCAGTTTTAGTTAAAGAATAAACAAACAAACAATGCAGGGACTAGTGGATTCCATTTATATGAAGTTAACAGAAGGGACAAAACTATGGCATTTGAAATCAGTTACCCAGGCTGGCCTTGAACTCAGTCTGCATGGAAAGCTTGAACTCAAAGCTCTTGTACCACCAGGTCTGACTTAGCATTGCATTGTTTGGTTCAGACTTCAGGTGTGTGCTTATTTGCTGGTTATCTTTTGAAGATCGGGTCTTACTATGCTGCTCAGGTTCACAGCCTCCTGAGGGGTTGGGACGGCAGTTGTGCATTTACCTGGCTGCAGAGGTATAGTTCCTTGAATCTCCAGGTCAGATCTCCACCCAAGAGAGAGGCCCAGCTCAGACGGACGACTGCTCCACTCTCTGCCTCTGTCACATCACATCATCCCTCCCGCATTTTCCTTCCAGATTCTGTCTGCCTCCTCCTCTTCTTTTGTGTAAAACCCCAAGGAATGCCACACACAGTGGTCAGCTCCACGATAAACCCACAGGTCTCCAGGACCCCATTTCTTTCTTGCATGCTCCTCTGCAGTCATATCAATGTGCTGGGAGTACACTCCCTCCTGGATGGGTCACTTTAAAGGGCTTTTATATTTCCTGAGCACCTACTAAGAGCTATGTCTTGTTTACTCTTTGACCAAGGCCATTTTCTTTTTATTTCAAATAACCCAGAGAAACAGGCATTTTTGCTGCTCTTGCTCAGTCCTGCTTTTCCAGATTATCAGTCATTAAAAATGGTGATGCCTGAGTTTGGTGGACCTGTGGTAATGAAAGCTACCCAGTTTAGGAACCACAAGAAGTTTTTCACGGTGCTTCTTTGAAATCAACATGAAGCAGAGTCTGTGTTTGGGAGGGGGTAGTGGTGGTTTGCTTCCGGCAGGGCTACGAGCTGGCTAGCTGGCTAGCTCTGGGATGTCTTATAAAGATACTATTGCGAGTCTCTTCTTTTGACTTAATCACTCTGTGAAGGCCAGTACTCCTACCCCTGGGCTCAGGATTTTAACAAATGGATTTGGGGCATACGCATTCAGGTGACATTAGGCATCAAGTAGAGCTTAAGACCTTTCTCCTGAAGGAAGAAAGGCAGAGGCAAGCATTTGGGATGCCGAGACTATATAAAGGTCAACTGTGCACATCTAACAATGAGCCTCATGCTCGGTCGCTAGAATTAGAGCCAGCCAGTTACCACATCCAGTTAGCCCCAGGCTCTTGGCTCATCCCTGTGGTGACTTAGAAGTGGTAACCACAGGGCTACTTTTTGTCTGGTACAACTTAGAGAAGAAAGCAGCAAGTGTGTGTATGTGTGTGCGTGCGCGTGCGTATATGTGTGAGTATGTGTATGTGCGCGCGCGAGTGTGTGTGCTCGAGCGCGCGTGCGCGCGCCTGTACGTGGGGGAGAGAGTGTATATGTTTTTGGTTTTAAGCTCCTGGCTCCCTGACATCAGAGTGGGTTCCCATGCCAGGGTGGTGAGGCATTGAGAGAAGCATCGGAGCAGACTCTCTGGGCGGGTGTGTGCGTGTCGGCGTGTCGGTGGAGTAGGGATTGCTGCACCCTGCGTGAGGCACCGGAGGAGGAAGCAGTAGCAGAGATCTGAATAATTGATTCTTCAGCAGCACCAGACGCCCGGGAGCGGGCGGAGAGCGTGGTTTCAGCACCAAGGTTGCGCGCCACCGCAGCCACCCCCCACCCCCATCACCAGCCAGACACCTAGGTTGGCCTTGTTCCCTGCCGCCGTGCGCTCCAGAAGAGGGTGGCCGCGCTCCACGTCGCCGCCTAGGGACTGCGGGGTCTGCCTCGGCCCGCCTCCAGGGTGGGCGGCTGCAGGCGGGCCGGAGCTCCAAACACCGTCGGATTGCGCGGGGGCTGCTGCGTTGCGTCTCGCTGGCTGAGAACAAGTCCTAAGTTGGTCTGCCTTCCGCTATCCGCCTCGGCGACCGCGGCAGAAGCGCGCCCCAGGATCTTGGCTTTTCCAGGGCTGTGAGCCGCGGTGGCCAGGCACTCTCCTGGGCTCCCGCTGGCCAAGTGAGGGACCGGACGCCCGGCGCGGAGCTAGCCCCGCAGCGGAGGGCCTGGAGGGAGCTGCGGTCCTCCGCCCGCGCCCTTCTCAGCCAGGGACCGCGGGGATCCCCGGCCACACGCGCGCGCGCGCTCCCACTCTCTCTCTCACACACACGCACACACACACACACACACACACTCACACACAGCACGCCAGAGCCAGACAGAAACTGGGCTGCGGAGAGGGTGTCCAGGCGCGCTCAGAGGACCCGGCAGCTGCTGTCCGGAGTGGAGCAGAAAGCTGAGCCAGGGCTCTGGGAAAGACGATTCCGGGGTGCTGTGCTGGAGCATGGGGCCGGATGAGCTCTGAGAGTCGCGGCCGCAGCGATCAGCCCTGGAGATGACCAGGGGTGGCCACTGCTGAGAACTATGTGGAGAGAGGCTGCGGTGAGTGCTGGCGCGGGACGCCGAGCCGGGAGGGCCCCGTGAGAAGCCGGTGTGGGGAGATCTGAAGAGGAGGGGGCAGCAGGACGCACAAGAGGGTCGCTACGTGGGAGTGATCACACCTCCCTCGGGGATCCGGGACCGCGGGAGCCCGCGTCCCTCCCTCCCCCCTCTTCTCCTCCTCGCTCGTCGCAAACTCAGCCAGCGCCCCCTCCTTCCCTCCTCTTCCCCCCACCTCGTCCCCCCTCCCCGCGGCTCAGCAGCTCCTAGTCGCACAACTCGCAGTAGCCGGCGTCGGGGTGGTGGTAGGGGGTGAGGGTGGAGGTTCCCACTAAGCTTCTTGGGGCTCCCAACCTTGGGCTTCCACTCTGCGTCCCTGAGAGGAGCTCCGGTTACCAGCCACAGGGACTGAAGATCCGCACCGGGCTGCCGTGGGCACCGAGCTCCAGCTTCCTTCTGATGGAGCCCCCCGGGTACATAAGGGGGCTGCGAGCACTGCAGACTGCATTCCTCCCCCCACCTTCCCCCGCACTGGTGGGCTGACCCTGCCTCTCCATCTCTCCTCCGCCCGGTTAGAGCCCTGCTGCAGAGCCTCCGGCTGGGATAGCCGCCCCCCGTGGGGGTGATGCGGACAGCGCGGGACAGCGAGGGGAGCGCGCGGGGGCCGCAGCATGCGGGAACCCGCTAAGCCTGGTGGCTGCTGAGGCGGCCGAGATGCCCGCGCGCGCAGCACGCCCCATTGCATCCTCCACCTTCTCCTGCTACAGGTACGTCCTGGTTGGTGATACGGGCTCCCTGGGCCTGGGAGGAGATAGGCTCAACCGGTGAAGAGAGAGGAGGAGAGGGTTCTGGAGGGAGAGGGGGGAAAAGAGCGAGCGAGAGAAATCCGGACCGAGAAACCTGGAGAGGGAGAGTCCAGTGGTGAGGCGTTGGAAGAGCACCAGGTGGCGCTGCGGCCCTGCACTCCACCTTGCTCACCCTAAAAACGCTAGGGCTGGAGTTTGCCTCAACTTCCCCTGGGTGCAACACCCGGGCGAGGGGCGCGCGCTTGTACTCGCGTGCACGACCGTGCAGGCTTACGCAGGAAAGCACCGCTGTGCACCTGGCACAGTGCTTGTGTGCGCACTGCCTGAGGACGTTTGAAGGCTCCAGCTGGCCGTGGGCATCTCCACGGCGGCCTGGAATTGTGCGCAGAAAAGCGCGCGTGTCTGTTAGCATGTGCAGCCCACTGCCCACGTGCAACTAAGATTTGGCTCCAGGGTCTGCAGTGGAAAGGCTGGGAGGAGTTGTACACTCCTCGTTCATCTGAGAGCTTTTGGGGATCCTACCCCCCACCCCCGCACGTTCTTTGCCAGCTCCCACGCGTTGGCCCACTTGGGGGTGGGTGGGGAGCGGGGCTCCTACTCTCCAGAATTCTGTATTTTACACTGCGCGAGAGACTGTGTGTTGCTTGTGTGCCCCCGTGTGTAGGGGTCGGGTCCTGGGGCGGCTCGCCATAGAGCGGAAGCCGGCTCATGACCTCTTCCAGCAAGGTGGTCGTGGGAGCGGCTGGCCTCAAGTTACCCCGGGCACCCGGGAGTCTGGGGTCACTTCCAGTCGCTTGGTGTGTCTCCTGCAGCGGGATCTGCAGCCGGTGGGTGCCACTAAAGGAGCGAGGTCTGTGGCGCACTGGGCTGGCTCCCAGGGGGTGGGGTCAGTTCACCACCTAGGCACGCAACAGACTCGGCTGGGCTGCGGTATGCAGGCACCGCCTCTCACGCAGGAGCTGGTCCGGAGTTCGCTGCGCGTGAGCAGGGGGCGGGGTCCCTAACTTGGTCCACGCACCTGCGGAGGAAGAGGGTTGCAGAGAGGGCTTGGTCTGGGCATCGGTTTGCGAGTGGTGGTGAGGTTCATGGCTCTCTGGGCGCTCAGGAGCTGTGGTCTGCGTCAAATTTGGGGAATCTTGTGTGGGGTTTGGACCCAGTTAGGGCTGGGGAAAGCGGCTGGAGACAGAAGTGAAGGCGTCAGGATGCCAGGATGGGCTTGGGGACAGGGACGGAGAAATAGCTTGGATTGGGGTAGTACATGGAGATGGACATGGGTCGAGGAATGTGGCCGGCATCAGCCATGAGGACCCCGGTGAGTGACAAAAGCAGCCGGTGCTGGGGCAGTCAGTCCTGTCACCCGGGCCCTTCACTGACCACCACCTTCCCCTCTCTCTCCCGCACCTCACAGGGACCCTAAGTGGCGACCATGGGCAGACTGGGCTACTGGACCTTGCTGGTACTGCCGGCCCTTCTGGTCTGGCGCGGTCCGGCGCAGGACGCGGCGGCGGAGAAGGGTCCCCCAGCGCTGAACATGGCGGTGCTGCTGGGTCACAGCCACGACGTGACGGAGCGCGAACTTCGAAATCTGTGGGGCCCGGAGCAGGCAACAGGCTTGCCCCTGGACGTGAACGTGGTGGCGTTACTGATGAACCGTACTGACCCTAAAAGCCTCATCACGCATGTGTGCGACCTCATGTCCGGGGCCCGCATCCATGGCCTCGTGTTTGGAGACGACACCGACCAGGAGGCTGTGGCTCAGATGCTGGATTTTATCTCCTCGCAGACTTTCATCCCCATCTTGGGCATTCACGGGGGTGCATCTATGATCATGGCTGACAAGGTAAGGCCAGTAGGATATGGACTGTTAGGATCCTGGAGGGGCGGATTCTACCAATGGCAAGGGCGCTCCTAGCATCTGCTCATATGAAAGCAGGTTAAGTGGCCTCTGCCTTTCTGAGAACAGCACTGTGCCTCTCTAACCCAGACATGAGGAGAACACCCTTTGCTTTTGGTTCTGAAGATGGGGTACTCAGACACACTTTGGTGTGCCAGGATGAGCAGAGAAAATAGGATGGGCGGGGGTGGAGATGGAGTGTTTGGAGATTTTCAGATAGCTCAGAGGCAAGCGTGGGGGCACTCGGATCAATATGGCTGTATTGCTACAGTGTCAGTTCTGCCGGAAACTCCATTTTCTTTCTTTTGGCAAGGTGATTAAAACTACTTAAAATTACTATGGAGGGGCATACAAGGTTTTTAGAAAACGCAAAGGGGACAGGTTCCTGCTTGCCTAGATTTACAGGAGTGGAGGTGGGAACCAGGGAATCCCAGGCTGGAGGCGTGTGGGTGAAGCTTTGTCTTTAGGGAGTAGGCATGTGGACAGGGAAGTAACTCCAGGCCCAGGGCGTTGGAGGGCCGGGGGCTCACTTCGACAGCTCTTGTGTGGGCTGACAACTTCACTACAGGGCCTCCAAAGAGTCTCAGAGGGAAGGCTCTGGAAGATGGACCTCGGCATGGAAGTTGAATTTCAGAAATGAGAGAATGTCTGACTTTGTCGGCTTTTTTTGGGCAACAGTTCCTTGGTTTGGAGAAGGGATGGGAGGGGCTTGAGGGTTGAGTGGGATGCTAGGAGAGCTTGTTAGGAAAGATGCTGAAGTCAAGAGGGGGAAGAAAGTTAGAAGGGAGAAATAAAACAAAGAGGAGAGAGGAGATGCTGCTGAGCTAGCGTGCCTTAGCTGCACAGAAGCCTCAGAAAGGCTGGCAGGAAGGCAGGGCACTGGTGCTCCCTGCCTGCTTCAGCAGACTTCTGGGAGAGTGTTCCTTAGGTAGAAGGGTACAACTGGAGGAACAGGTGGATATTCTGCACAGCACTTTCCTTTTGTCTTTCTTGACACGCTGCTGAGTTCATCAAATCAGCTTCAGCTCTGCTCAGTGCTTCCCAACAGCTCCTCCGGTGACCGTACTAACTCTGCCAGGTACCCTGGGCTGTGGCACATGCAGTGAAAACAAAACTGATACAGTATCTCATTGAACACTTGTTTCAAAGGGTCCTCTGCAGGATCTTCATCTGACATGATCATCCTACAGCCACCTCTCTGCTTTGGAAGGCTCCTTTTCCAGTGTAATAAAAGCAGGGAACAGCTGAGTTCTGCTCACAATGTAAGGGTCACGTCAGAACTGCAGAGGGCCTTAGAATTACTAGAACACCCCAAAACTCTCAGACAAAGTGGCTAAAGCATAGGGCTGTTAGGAGACTTCTCACAGTGGGTGATGAGAATAGATACCTGTTTTTCTGGTCTCAAGCTGTAATCTGGGGAAATCAAACCTTGGCCCTCTAACATACTATTCCTTATTTAAGAGGGACAAGGCATTCATTATATTATGTATGGGGTACCAAGTCATGGTGGAGGGTAGTGAATCAGCTTAGAGGGCTTGTACAGTTGAGAAGAGAACAGCCTTCTCAAGAGGCACCACGAAGGAGAATGGCGGCTTCTATTTTGTTGAGGGGAAAGGGGATTAGATTGTGAAATATAACTATCATCATTGATCTTCCCCTTTAAATGCTTTGGTTATAGAAGCAACACATAAAAATGAACAGGTACAGCAGGGCATGTAAAAAAATAGATGAAAGGCTCACACCTTGTTCCCAGCATTCAAGAGACAGATTTCTGTGAGTTCCAGGCCAGCCTGGGCTATCCAGTGAGAGTCATCAGAGAACTCTGCTCCCACGGGACCTGGGAAGGTGGTTTGAGGTTGGGAGTGTTGTGTGGCTTTCTGGCTCTCTCTTCTGACTATGAGGTGGCAAGTTGGTGCAGGGTTTCACTCGACTCACTCATCCAGTGGCAACAGAAAGGAGCACCCCCCCACCATGTGAGTACTTCTTGGTATGACTTTTACTATCAAGGAACCTTGGCCCATAAAATGGTGGTCTCTGACTAGCTAGCCCAGCCACTGTGCCTCCCTGAAAAGGAAGTTTTGAGAAGTCAGGGGAATAGGTGAATGTATCTCTTCCTCTTGGGGGTAAAATTGCCTTATGGGATGTGGTCAAAGTACACTTACATGAACAGAATCAAATACTTCAGAGTAAGGGAGGAAAAAAGGACCCAGGTAATGGCAAAACGGTGTTTAAGGATATTCCCAGAGAAGACAAGAGATTGCAGAGCAAGAGAGAAGAGAGGACAGAAGCATTAATTGTTCAAGCACACCAGAGGGACCAGCTTCTACTCATTGAATTGGGGCTTTCCAGAGTTGGTCTAGGAGGGATTTCTGCAGCCCTGATTGTATTAGAAATGGAGGAAGATGAGTCAAGATGGCAGGGAGTCGCTGAAGTGGGAGGAGACCGGCAGAGCATATGCTGGCTCTCATGTAAGGAAGAACAGGGGATGTGGGGAGGAGTGGGTTTGGAGGAATCTGGATGTGTTTTAAAAGGAGAGAAGTTGTCTTGAGATGCAAACAGCCTTTCCTTCATTAGAAATGCATATGTTTGGGGCGTCTCTTTACCACCTGTTTGGGTTGCTGCTAACACTCATGGACTTTATTTAGCTTTATAGAACTAGTCACAGGATGTTATTTAAAACTGCCTTGCTTAGGTGTGCTGACAATATTGTGACCAGAAAGCCTAAAACTCCCCAGACTGACACAGCCCTATAATGGGATTCCAATTGGGTAATGTCACCCAGAAAATACCTATGTTCTTTTCACTTCTGATTAGACAGTGTGATAATAGTTAGTTGATCATCAGCTAAAAGGAACACACACACACACACACACACACACACACACACACACACACACGTGCACACAATCATGCTCACACAAGCCTTCAGGCATACATCATTTTTACCGTTCTCTCAGTCTGCATGAGTCTTGAACAAAGTTTATAGCAGTGGTTCTCAACTATCCTAATTCCATGACTTCAGTACCTCATGCTGTGGTGACCCCAGGCTGTAAAATCATTTTGTTGCTAATTCGTAACTGTAATTTTGCTACTGTACTTTTGTTATGAACAGTAAATATCTGTGTTTTCCAATGGTCTTAGGTGACCCCTAGGAAAGGCTCATTCAGGGTCTTGACCTACAGGCTGAGAACCACTGCTTTACTCTAAGTATAGTGGTGTCAAGTGAGAGGTGTTTGAGGTGCTAATTTAAGTGAGTGTGCAGGCATTGATTTTGTCGGTGTCAGTGGGTAGTCTTGCAATATTATTAAGTTGGTGGTGAACATTAAGCTTGGTGTAGGTGAAGTTCCCATCTCACCTTGGCTTGTCCAAGTGACACCTACTTATGGTGCACAGGAAACCCAGTAAGGTTGCTAGAGCGTACATCTCTGCTCACCATCCTCAATTCTTCCTTCCCCTGGCCCCCTGGTGGAGAAGGCTGGGTTCATATTTTACCTATGTCACTTATCTGTGCCAGTCACTGTGTGGACTTTGTTTGGTATGTCTATTTTTAATTATTTATTTTAAGATTAAAAATGCTCACTTTATTTTATGTGTGCGAATGTTCCGCCAGCATGAATGTTCACCACATGCATGCCTGCTGGTCCCCTTAGGACTGGGATTATGGATGGTTGTGAGCCGCCATGTGGGTGCTGGGAATAGAATTTGGTTCACCTCAAGAACAGCAAGTGCTTTTAACTGCTGAGCTGTCTCTTCAGCCCTTGTATGTTTAGTGTGTGAGTGTGTGTGTGCGCGAGTGTGTGTGTGAGTGTGCGCACATGTGTGTGTGCAGCAGCATGCAGAGGCCGCAGGACCCCTGAGTGTCCCTGATGTGCCGTCCACCTCCTGCTTTTAGAATGTAAGTCTTTGAGGGCAGATTAAAGAATGTGTTTGTGTGTATATGTGTTTTGAAATAATGAATTCTCTTCCATAGATACTATAAAAATAATGTCTTTTCATTGTAGAGCACTTAGAAAGTACATTAAAGTTTAAAGAAGAAAATAAAAAGCTCACCATAAATTTTATCAGCAGGATTAACTGTGGCAATGTGTGAATGCATTTCTTCTAAGAACAGTTTGTTGGGTTATAATTTCAGAATTATACTATTTTTGTGTTATCATTTTTTTTTTGTAGTCTATACTCTGAGATTTTTGGCCAGAAAACTCAAATGTCTTTAATTCTGGGAAATTCTTTGGCCTGTCTGCTGTGTACCTCCTCTCTTGTCTTCTTGGTTATTTCCACTGTCTTGAATTGTCCTTTCCTCATTTCACACACATATCGTTCTATGCAGTAGGCTCTCAACCAACTCTCCCTACACTGTATATATATACATATATATATACACACATATATACATATATACACACATATATACACATATATACATATATACACACATATATTGAGCTTATTTTCAGAGCAAGTGCATTTTATTTTTAATTAAATTTAATTACATCACTTCGTTTCCTTCCTCTAGCCCCTGCCAGACACCTTCCCCAGCCATACTCTTCCTCAAATTGATAGCTTCCTTTACTTTGATTATATTTGTTACACACATATAGCTATATGCACAAACATATAGAAATAGAAGCTGCTGAGTCAGTTTTTATTGTTTGTGTGTTTATGGTCTCATGGTTGGCCACTCTGCTTTGGATAAATAAGGGGGCTCCTCAGGGTCTTTCGAACCCCCTGGTGTCCTGAGGCTTGTTACACAGTTCAACAATGACCATAAAGTTCTGACTCTCCTGCTTCTACCCACCAAGTGGTGAGATTATGTGCACTTGAAATGATGCCCAGTTTATGTGATGCTGGGGTCAAAGCCAAAGTTCTGTGAGCGGGCAAGCCCTCTGCCCACTCGGCCCCAGCCCCTAGCTGCAGAGTTTCCTGTGCCTCGTATCTGTAAAGGGATG